TACACCACGTCGGTGAGAAAGTGACTGAAGTCGAGATGCCAAGTCAGGATCGATTATATTACAGATCCTTCTTTGGATCCCGTCAGGAACCTCAAGATGAGTAGCAGGAACACCAGACCAGATATGGCAACAGTATTCAAAGCATGGACAAATGGTAGATTTGTAAATGTGCAAGATGGACTCTGACGAGAAAAACCTTCTGTCGCGACACAGTGCCCCGACTTTCAATGTAGTCGTTTCCACTTTTTCACATTTCTTTTTGGTTGTCTAAATCTATGCCGCAATAGCCATTCTGTTGGCTCGTACTTGCCAACAAATCTTCCGTTTACTCCTTGCGCCGACGTTTTGGCTGTACAATACCTCGTCAGCGGCGGGTGATCTCTTTCTCCTCTTAGGTCTACTACCGACAGCCCTCATCTACCAAATCATCACAACTGAACGTGAAAACACGACAAACTTTGCAGTTTAAAGTCGTCTTCTGGTCATAACGATTCGAGTTTTATCAAAGTCATTCAAATTTTGCGCATAACTAAGATTTTCAAACCACCAAATAAAATAGTCAATTTTGGATTGCCTATTGAAATATGTCTGACCCTGACCTGCGGAATGTCAGTCATTTTAATCCCGATTCAACCTGCAGAAATAGAAATTGTATGAATGGCAGACAGTCGTGATGCATCCCACTTTCTCGCCATTCAGGTGCACAATCGAATACGGGTGAATATTGTCCTGGCGACAGGATCAAATGCAGGGAAACAAAACGTTTGCCTTTCTAAAAAAGCACGATGTATGTTGCCGCTCTTAACAGACCTGCTATTAATGTTCTTGTAAATTCCCCGGCTGACCAGGAAATAGCTGCTTAGCGAATACATAGAGAATACTTTCTTAAATCGGTAGGTGTAGATAATGTTTTGAATCATATATATATATATATATATATATATATATATATATATATATTCTAGTCTCTTCTGTCATCAGTTGATATATGGATCGAGGCAAAGGATATCCAATTTCTAAATAAGTAAACCACTGACAGAAATAATGGCTCTTTCAGTCCGTATCGCTCATTTTGTGTATTTATAAAAGTTTAATGCGCAATATTTGCATCGCAGTCAGTATATATTAGTTCTTTATAACTAAAACGCCATTCACGCGCACACACACACACACACACACACACACACACACACACACACATATATATATATATATGAAATTGTATATTTGGGCAGCATTCCACGTTTTATAACAGTTTCATTAAACACGACTGGCAAGGTACTGAGGTTAAATTATTTATTTAATTTTTCTCCAATTCTTCGACTTTATTTTCTTTTCTGTACATGAATAATGTCGAAATTGTTTGTATGTTTGTACTAGTCTACTCGAAAGCTTTCAGTTATAGTTTTAGGTCTTACCAAGTATAATTTTACTTTTACTTTAACTGAATGTAAGAATATTTTTTTATACAAATGTTGTTCTTTCTCAAACAAGGTCAACACATTGTGACCGTGTTCATATTTTCTATTGTGAGTTATTTTTTCTTTTTTTATTAATAATGATTCCATTATTTTTAGCCTTTTATATAGATACATTGTCACATATAATACAAATATAATAGCCTTATCCACATGTAATATAACACAAGAATAATTAAATAGAAAAACCACAGAACCTTGTCAGTTGTTTTAAACATATATATATATATATATATATATATATATATATATATATATATATATATATATATATATATATATATATATATATATATATATATATATATATATATATATATATATATATATATATATATATATATATATATGGTCACGCAGCCATGTAGTTAGAACGTTCGCATTCTGATCATGAGACACAGGTTCGAATCTCAACATGGTCGATTTGTCAGGAAGGAGATGTTATCGGACTGGAGGGGCTCGATCCCAGCATGCCCAGCTGAAAACCATGCCACGGGTTAACCCAAGTCTTGTGAGTGAAATTCGGTAGACGAAGACCTAACACGAAGTCACAAGTCAAATTGTTCCAACTGTTGATCACGCTAGATCATTCAGCAGTTTCAGTATAAACCACAGAGTTAGGCTAGGTCGGTTTTGAATAATCACAAATGCGCCCGAGCAAGCGTCTGCAAGAGGGATTGACTAGTCGCCCTTGTAGACGGGTATCCTCGAATACTAGTGGTCAACTGTACAATATTATAAATATATATATATATATATATAATATGAATCATTCATACAGCAAAGTTAATGATAAATTTTTAAAGTTGCATTAACCTACGAATCACTCGATGAATGTTATGATCCTTTTTTTTAATAACTTCAAGTTGTATAAGGTCTTTTTTTTAATCTGCTAGTACTTTCGGCTGTACATAGAGCCATCCTCAGGCATGGAAATTATTTTGTTTTTAGTACATCAAGGTAATAGCGAACACGAAAAATTAAATGCGATTCGAAATATGTTTTTTTCTTAGAAATGTGTT